ATGTATAAAACAATTAAAATAATAATATACTTTTTGTGCATATATTATTATTATTATTATTATATTGGTATATATTGTTATTTTTATTATTTAATTTTAATATATAAATGTAAAATAAATATGTTTTTTTTTCACAAAAAAGGGACAGTGTACATTAATCAACATTCATGAATGTAAAATGTACCCATATTAGCCCAAAGGCTAGTTTTCATTGGTAGTCCCTTTGCCTGATGTTATTGGCCAAACAACTAGAGAAAGACAAGAAACAAAATAGAAAAACAATAACAACGAATTTCAACCAAAAATTATAAATAATTCTCTAAAAGACAGTTAAACAACAAATTATACAAAATGACAATAAAAAAATTAAGAAATAAGTGAAATTTTTTTTATATATAAAAGCAGCTTATCGAGATAAATAAACAACATTAAAGGGTTAGTTCACCCAAAAATGAAAATTCTGTCATTAATTACTCACCCTCGTGTTGTTTGAAACCCGTAAGACATCATTTTCGGAACACAATTTAAGATATTTTTGATGAAATATGAGGGCTCTCTGACCCTCCCATAGACAGCAAGGTAACTACCACGTTCAAGGTCCAGAAAAGTACCAAGATGATCGACAAAGTAGTCCGTGGGACATCAGTGGTTCAACTGTAAAGTTACGATTTGCGGTGCTGACCCAGATCCGGCGTAATGACATCATCACACCAGATCTGGGTCAGCGCAGGCGCCACCACACGCTCGCATCATGGTACTGTCGTGAACGCGCGTCCAAAGTGACGCATCAGAGACGAAAATATGGAATAAAGTCGTTATTTTTGTTTTCTTTGTGCAAAAAAGTATTCTCGTAGCTTCGTAACTTTACAGTTGAACCACTGATGTCACACGGGCTACTTTGTCGATCATCTTGGTACTTTTCTGGACCTTGAACGTGGTAGTTACCTTGCTGTCTATGGGAGGGTCAGAGAGCCTTCAGATTTCATCAAAAATATCTTAAATTGTGTTCCGAAGATGAACGAAGGTCTTACGGGTTTGGAACAACACGAGGGTGAGTAATTAATGACAGAATTTTCATTTTTGGGTGAACTAACCCTTTAATGTTCACATTGTTGGTTATGAAGAAGCCATTTCTTAAAATGATGCTTAAATGAGTTAAATGATGTACATTCTCTAATTGATTGTGGTATTGAATTCCACTGATGTGATGCTCTGAATGAAAAAACAGCTTGACCAAACAAGGTTTTTCTATGTGGAATTATGCAATTTTCTTTTATTATATACATCTTCTTCTTCAGCCATGTTAAAGAAGCCAGTGGTGACGGAGGTCCGAACCCCTACTAACACGTGGAGCGGTCTGGGCTTCTCAAAGTCTATGCCTGCAGAAACTATTAAGGAGTTGCGCCGGGCAAACCATGTGTCTTATAAACCTACCATGTCAACTACATATGAGGTAAAAGCACACCAAGCAAAAGGACTAAGCACCTCTCTCCTATGAATTGCTGTACACTGATAGTAGTTCATTTAGTGCATTCAGTGTGTACACCATATATTGCTGTGTTCTCACTGATGACGATTAGCTCTATTATTATTGTGTATTGATGCATCACTGCGGGTTTTTAGTGGAATAAACTTGATATGATTTGTGTTTTATAAGGGGTCGCCTCTAGCCCTGTCCCGCTCCAACAGTAGAGAGGGGGTGGCAAGTGGCAGTGACTCGGATAACTGGAGGGAAAGGAATGGGAGCGGGCTCCCAGTACACAGCGACTTCCCCTCTCCCATCAGCCCCAAAAGGAAGCAGAACAAAACAGGTGTGCTCTTCAGTCGGAATGACTGAGCTTAGTGATTGGTTTTTTTTGTGACATGAATTCAAAGACGTGTTTTAATTACTTATGCTTAAATATCTCACTTACAAAATATCAGTATAATAGGATATTAAAGGTCCTTTAAAAGATCATTTAACTTCACAAGTGAAAGAATTGAGACGATACAAGGCAACTCTGTTAACAAGCACTAATATTGCTCCTCAAGCAAACTACACAAGGAAATCAACTAACTAGCTAACACATCCTAGTTCAATATATTTTGATGTTCGAATGTTGCTAACCTAAGTTAACATCTAGTCTTTTTAGCACTGTAAATCACTGTTAGTGCCTTTTTGAAAAAAGTACATTTTAACATGCTCTTACAAAAGAGTACTTACTACAAAAATATTATACTTTAAAAGATTATGCAAACTGAATGTAATGATTTTGGAGACTTAGTTGCGTTTAATTTGCAATTACAGTAAATGAAAATGTATTAAAGTTTACATTTATATTAAATGCAGTTAGATGAGAGTGTTTTTGACTTAACTAGGACTAGGACTAACTAGTACATCATTATATGTAATTACTTATATTGACTTTGAAATATGGTTAAAGTGTACTTAGAAAGCTACTGACAAGCATTTAATTTATGGTAAGCTGAAATTTAATCTTAATGTTCTCTTGAATCCTGGATAAATTTGAAAATATTTCTACTTTAAATGTATTATAACACACTACAGTTAAAAACTTAAAGTACAATTCAATTACAGTCAAAATCAAGTTTTTTCATATGCTTTTTTATGTTACACATAAAAAAATATGTGCTTTTTTAAAGCATCACAAAAAATGACGACAAACTGATTTTAGAATGTACCTAAGAAGTAAACTTTTAATTGGACATTATTATAAAAGTGCACTTTTTAAAAGTTGAAGTGTGTTCTGCTCTCTTTTAGTACTTTAGGGGTTTTGTTTCATCCGTATTATATTATCAGCAAGTGCAGTTTTTGAAAAATATATTTTTTAAATTTGATATATATTACAAGTGCTCCTTCAAAACAATTAAATACACTTGTTTTTCATAAGGCTATGAATGCATTTAGGCCAAAACAAGGTATCTGCAAAGCCTTAAAATGCTGATTGATAACCAGGTAGACACTTAACCATAATTTTATGTATTTTGGATTAGAGCACTACCTAAGCAGCAGCAACTACATGGACTGCATCTCGTCGGTGATGGGAACTAACGGCTGTAATCTCAACACATCTTTCAAAGGATCAGATCTGCCTGAGCTCTTCAGTAAACTTGGCCTCGGGAAATATACCGACGTCTTCCAACAGCAGGAGGTACAGACGGAGCTGCTGATATCTTCTCTATCAATGTTGTTGTTTGAGATGAGAACATTTAAATGAGCTTTAGATGATTTCTGCCACCGGGAGGTTGTTTTTATGTCTTATGGCTATTAGCGCTTAGCCTGTTTAGGCTGCACACAGTGCACGGAACTCAGCAGAAATCATGTTGGAAATGCACTTTAAATCAGTCTTTGGCTAAATAGGCTTTTATGAAATACTGGAGCGAACAGCTGACTGTTGTCATAATGTTCTCTTGAATCCTGGATAAATTTGAAAATATTTCTACTTTAAATGTATTATAACACACTACAGTTAAAAACTTAAAGTACAATTCAATTACAGTCAAAATCAAGTTTTTTCATATGCTTTTTATGTTACACATAAAAAAATATGTGCTTTTTTAAAGCATCACAAAAAATGACGACAAACTGATTTTAGAATGTACCTAAGAAGTAAACTTTTAATTTGACATTATTATAAAAGTGCACTTTTTAAAAGTTGAAGTGTGTTCTGCTCTCTTTTAGTACTTTAGGGGTTTTGTTTCATCCGTATTATATTATCAGCAAGTGCAGTTTTTGAAAAATATATTTTTTAAATTTGATATATATTACAAGTGCTCCTTCAAAACAATTAAATACACTTGTTTTTCATAAGGCTATGAATGCATTTAGGCCAAAACAAGGTATCTGCAAAGCCTTAAAATGCTGATTGATAACCAGGTAGACACTTAACCATAATTTTATGTATTTTGGATTAGAGCACTACCTAAGCAGCAGCAACTACATGGACTGCATCTCGTCGGTGATGGGAACTAACGGCTGTAATCTCAACACATCTTTCAAAGGATCAGATCTGCCTGAGCTCTTCAGTAAACTTGGCCTCGGGAAATATACCGACGTCTTCCAACAGCAGGAGGTACAGACGGAGCTGCTGATATCTTCTCTATCAATGTTGTTGTTTGAGATGAGAACATTTAAATGAGCTTTAGATGATTTCTGCCACCGGGAGGTTGTTTTTATGTCTTATGGCTATTAGCGCTTAGCCTGTTTAGGCTGCACACAGTGCACGGAACTCAGCAGAAATCATGTTGGAAATGCACTTTAAATCAGTCTTTGGCTAAATAGGCTTTTATGAAATACTGGAGCGAACAGCTGACTGTTGTCAGGCTTGAAAAATTCCACACAACAATTTGGATGTAAATTTTCCATTTCTCATATATATATTGGATTTCATGACAGTCAGGTCTGTAATAATCCTGAATGACCAACTCCAATTTAATGGCGTTTAATAACAGAAATTCTCAATGTAGTAACATAGAGATGACTTCATTTTCTGTGGAGCCACAGCTCTGTTATGCAGCAGAAACACTGTCAGTGTGACAGCTCTATCTGGCTTGCATGTATGCTGTCAAACTGGCCCGGGGTTACAATGACGCAACTTCCAGCCCAGAACTGAAACCCTCAGAATAGCCAAAAAGATCTGTAATTCACACATTATACCAAGCCCTGTATTTTAAGATGCCAGAGATAACATTGAGGAGTCCAAAATTTGGTTCTGGCTTTTATCTTATAAACATATCATCAGAAAGTTAGAGAGAGCGCTGTGGTGCAGTGGTCAGTGCACATGCACTTAGTCGCAGGTTTGATTCTGCACTGTTATACCATTCTCCCTCTTTCTCCCCACAGTCATTTTTCTCTAAAAGTCCAAACTAAAAATACAGTTTGTGTCTGTTTCTCAGATTGACCTTCAGACGTTCCTCACGCTGACCGATCAGGACCTGAAAGAGCTCGGCATCACTACTTTTGGAGCCCGCAGGAAAATGCTGCTGGCCATTTCAGGTCAGTTCCCTTCCAAACAAACAACTGGGGCTGGCACAGTAGCATTACCAGCAACATTTCACAATTCTTTATACCTTTCTCGATTCCACAGCAATCAATCAATCAACCAATCAATCAGTAAGTGCAGTCAATCGATTAACTCCTAACATTACAATTTGTAATCCTAATTATAGAATCTCCAAAAGTAATGCAGAAACAACATGAAGACTGTATAATTTAAATATCCATTTATTGCTGTCTTTTACCATGAATTATAAATAGTCCAGTATCGCCAATACCAAAACTGTTACTGATGCCTCTAAATAGATTTTACTCAATTTCTGGGGCTAAATAGAGAGACAATATAGCCATTCAAAATTATAGTAAGATTTGTGCCATCATTTTAAACATTTAATAGACCTAAACTGTTACAGAATATTAAAAACGTTTAATTTAAGTGAACTTAAAACAATGTTCATATAAACCCATTATAATAAATGTCACATTTGTCAGTGCTTTTAATATAGTTTGTTGTATATATTAATATAGTGATGCTTCTGTTGATATCATCTATGTTTTTCCCACTAAGTTTATTTTGTGCATTCATTTTCATAAATAGGAAAATTAATAAGTAAAACAATTTGTATCAATATTTTAATTTTTTAGTATTTACACTTATTTCTGCAATTTCACCTGCAGGTCTTCATCACTGCGATAAGCATGTTACTGACGTTATCAAAAACAGGCAACCAGACAGCCAAATGTATTATTAATTATTTATTAGTATGTACTCAAGTTAACAAATAAAAATAAAGCTTGCATGTATTTTCAGGTATTTCTCAATTACTTATTTTTTCAAATAAAGTCAGTAATTAACTAAGTAAATCAAAATGTACTCCCTTTTTTATTGAAATGGTTTTTTGATTCATATTAATGGCAATAATAGACAGGTGGCAGGTCTGTTAGGTTGATTGTAATAAACAGATCTGATATTTTTGTTGTATATTCACCGAAGACATACTGTTTGCAGTAATACCAAGAAGTTTGTTTGACTGTTCACACAGCTGCATTACCGTGAGCACTTTCTAAGAGAACCCACTCAAATACATATGTGATTATTGGAAAACAGCCACTCGTTATTCAGACAGCCCTCAGGTACCAAATTGAGTCAATATTTAATGCAGAAAGACTGGTCTTGTTACATTTCTTAAGAAAGTTTAGTACCAACCAACACAAAAATAACCGTGATAGCAGATGGACACAACATGCCATGCAAGATTTTCCTTTTTAATAGCTTTGAGTAATTTGGACAGCTGCAGGTTTTTGGGATTACCATTATGATTTATTGAGGTGTCAGAGATGAAATTGGATTTGGCTTTCCACTTATGTAACCGGCAAGGGTTGACTGACTGTCCACATCCCAGCATGACAGCAAGTGGAAGTGACAAGCTTGGCCATTAGACATCTCGAACATCTGTGATATATTTTGACCACCCACTGCTCGAAAACCATAATGACTTCCTGCAGTCTGGCAAGGATATTTACTAAAACAAAAACATTGTTCCTGTTTTATCAGCCCCGTGGTTAGAGAATAAAGCACAATGCCTGAGGTTGAGGTAGCCCTTTCACCGTTAAAAATGAAATTGTGGTGCAGATGGGATACTAAAGTGTAGAGGTACGAGGAAGACAGGAAATGACTGCAGGCCTGTGTTTCTGTCTCTGACTGACCTCAGACACAATTTACTGTAATCTGGGCTGATGCAAGGTTGGTCCCAGTGAGAGAAATGTCCTGCCTTTTGTCCTCTACAGCAGGAAAATGGAACATTGGCACTGTCAAGCCCACTTACATAAATGCGATCTGTCATCTAAAAATCATAATGCAAAGACTGAGCTGTCAAAAAACTAGTGAGCTGTCAACATTGGCTGCGTTTTAAGGTTGTATACCTTATTTTGACCAATTTTTAAGGCACACTGCAGGAGAATGCCACAAGCTAAATAAAAAATAATAATCAAAACGAGAAAAATGTTGATTAGAAATATATTATTCATTCTTTGCTGAAAAGTATTAATAAAAATATTTTAAAATGTGCTGTTTTACCCAATATTTGTATGTATATCTGTATGTATAATTACTCATGTATTTCATGTTGTAGAACATGAAAATATCTTGAGCTTCAAAATATCCACTGATTTCGGGAAGATGGAACTGCTAACTTGATGGAAATGCTATCCAAATCAATGTTAATAATTTGGTAGAAGCGGTTGATTCATCCATGCATTTGTTTTATATTTAAAAAAATGTTTTGACCTTGTTATTTGCAATATGGAGAAAAGATCTGTCACTGCTTCCATTTTACTGTGATATTGACATGCATGTATGCAGTGTAAACTATGAATATTTAAGTCCTCTTTTTGTTTTGACAGAGCTGAACAAGAACCGAAGGAAGCTCTTTGAGCCACCCAACATCCGCTCCTCGTTCCTGGAAGGGGGTGCCAGTGGTCGACTGCCACGCCAGTTCCACACAGACATTGCCAGTGTGAGCGGGCGCTGGTGAGCCCATGCCAATGCACCAACGGACAGCCTGAAACTGCACAAATTCCCATTCCCAACTCCAACCTGATATACAGTACTGGACCAAAACCCGGACCTTCTGAAACTATGCCAAATAAACAAAGTCTATGGATCAGAGGTTAAGGGTCAAAGAACTGTTGAATATTATATGCAGTATGGTACATTATGCAATATGGTACTCATGTTACAATGAAGGAAATGCAGTGAATGATCATTGGAGCTCCTGCACTGTGCTTGTATATGGAGCAGGCAGATTTTATTTATATGCTTGTCTTAGGCTTCGACATACTAATTCTTTGCACTTTAAAAAATGCTAAATATTTTGTCCATGGACAGATTCACCTGACTAGATGCGCCTGGATTTTATTTAAAGCACTTAAATGGATATCAAGCCAAAGAGTTCTGAACAAATTATCCATAAGGGAAGCTTATCTCATCCCACGGCTGCATTACAGTGAAATCACCAGCCTGTTGTTATTACTTATGGATCTTAGTCAGAGTAGACATCATATTGCATTTGACAGAAATGAAATGGAGTGTACGTCTATCCCTCACAGGCTTGTTTTCATTCAGGTCAAATTAAAATAGTCTACCCTGACTGAATTCCACAGTACATTGTCTATACAGTATTTCTAAACCTATAAATACGAAAAATCTACATTATTTTAGTATATGACTTTAGTTCTTCTATGGAACTCAAAAGAAGATACTTCGAGGAATGTTTCAGCTGTTTTTGTCCATACAGTGAAAGTTAATTGAGTGCACTAGTTGGTTCTAGAAGTATTTTTGTCATTAATTTTTTTCCCCAAAGGGATTATGTAAAAAAAAAAAAACTTATTTAAAGTATTAAAAGCTAGGAACCAAGTAATTTTTTGTACAGATTCATGGGTAATGTAATATTTCACCACAAATTCTGCTGTTATAAAAAATTATTTTAAAAATGAGTTGAAAATACAGCTACAACAGGGGTTTAATCACTTTAAGGAATTTGAGCACATATGAAAAAAGATATATGTATTATTATTTAGTAACCACCCAAATCAATGATTTAAAAGAGCATTTTCTGGTAATTCCAGGTAATTTACCATAGAAATATGACATTTTTTAACATTTATGGCTGTTATAGCAACACCTATAGTCCAATATCCATAAAAGTTGGCATGCCTCTTTAGTATTATATGCTGCATGGGCTCACCTAATTTTGTAAAGTTCCGAGTTTTCGTTCAGGAATTATAGGCTTTTAGGTATATTTGGCCACACCCATATTGTAATGACCCTGTTATAGTTAACCAAAGTGTAAATTTCACTTTTCTTTTTGCTAATTATTGACCTAGAGAGTCCAGAGAATTTTACTTGTGGTTTTGTTGAGATTGAGCAAAAATCCTATAGGACTAGTTCGCAAAAGTAGTTTTTTTTAAATAATCTTGAATAATTAAGGAACAATTTTTTTGACAATAGTAGTTCTTGAGGAAAAGTTGTTCAGAATGAGGAGCTCTAACATATGATATGAATATTGTGTGTGTGGGTAAAACGCTGCATGATTTCTTTCAAATTTCTCGCAGACCTTTAGGGCCATGAGTCAAACAGGCCCACGGCATTACATTCTGATCGGCCTCTGTTAACCCCCATCTAATATGTGATCACAATTCATTGGCCAATTACGGCCATGATTTTCAAGATAAATAAACGTGCTCATAGACAGCCGTGGCACTTTGGACACAGCGTGTGACTTTTCAAGTCAATCAGACAAACGGGTGCATAGTTATAGCCATTTTTATGTTTTTGTCCTATCATAGTGCCACACAGTGGCCAGACTCTTTTTCTCATGTAACCTCAGATTGAGGTCTTACATATGCATATCGAGTTTTGTGTAAATATCTTATTCCATTGAAAATTTATAGCTGTTTTAGGAAAAGTGCCCCTCTGTCGAACGTTTTGGCATCACTTTGCGACGGCGAGTTGAAAACTCTAAATTTTTTGATATTCACTCTCCAGAGAATTTTTTCTGCATTGGTTTATTTCCGACCAGGTGAAAAACCTAGGACTAGTTCGCAAAAGTAGGCTTTTCAAAAAATACAAAAGATTCTGTGGTGGTTGAATCCGTATAATAAAAGACATTTGAGTCTTCGACAAGTACTTTAGGAGTTCTTAGCGATTTCGTACTTTTGATTGCCGTAGCGCCCCCCCCTCAGGCCGATTGGGGCAAGCCTTGATGACGTTGTAGACATGGCGGGTACTACCATCTCTCAAAGTTTCAGGTCTCTACGCCTTACGGTTTGGTCTGCCCGATCACTTTTAGGTCAGAATGGTGATCTTTGAAAATCTTAACAATTACGATAGGGTTTCAGCGCTACACGCTTGAACCGCTAATAATGTGAAAATATGGCTTTAACAAAACATTTATCTCAGAGCTCACAACAGTTCTGTCTTTAAAGGTTTATAAGCTACCATTAAAGTTTTTTTTAAATAATCTTGAATAATTAAGGAACAATTTTTTTGACAATAGTAGTTCTTGAGGAAAAGTTGTTCAGAATGAGGAGCTCTAACATATGATATGAATATTGTGTGTGTGGGTAAAACGCTGCATGATTTCTTTCAAATTTCTCGCAGACCTTTAGGGCCATGAGTCAAACAGGCCCACGGCATTACATTCTGATCGGCCTCTGTTAACCCCCATCTAATATGTGATCACAATTCATTGGCCAATTACGGCCATGATTTTCAAGATAAATAAACGTGCTCATAGACAGCCGTGGCACTTTGGACACAGCGTGTGAATTTTCAAGTCAATCAGACAAACGGGTGCATAGTTATAGCCATTTTTATGTTTTTGTCCTATTATAGTGCCACACAGTGGCCAGACTCTTTTTCTCATGTAACCTCAGATTGAGTTTTGTGTAAATATCTTATTCCATTGAAAATTTATAGCTGTTTTAGGAAAAGTGCCCCTCTTTCGAACGTTTTGGCATCACTTTGTGACGGCGAGTCGAAAACTCTACATTTTTTTATATTCACTCTCCAGAGAATTTTTTCTGCACTGGTTTATTTCCGATCAGGTGAAAAACCTAGGACTAGTTCACAGAAGTAGGCTTTTCAAAAAATACAAAAGATTCTGTGGTGGTTGAATTCGTATAATAAAAGACATTTGAGTCTTCGACAAGTACTTTAGGAGTTCTTAGCGATTTCGTACTTTTGATTGCCGTAGTGCCCCCCCCTCAGGCCGATTGGGGCAAGCCTTGATGACGTTGTAGACATGGCGGGTACTACCATCTCTCAAAGTTTCAGGTCTCTACGCCTTACGGTTTGGTCTGCCCGATCACTTTTAGGTCAGAATGGTGATCTTTGAAAATCTTAACAATGACGATAGGGTTTCAGCGCTACACTCTTGAACTGCTAATAATGTGAAAAGATGGCTTTAACAAAACATTTATCTCAGAGCTCACAACAGTTCTGTCTTTAAAGGTTTATAAGCTACCATTAAAAATCTGTTTTTAATTCTAACCCAACTTTTGCACTCTTTATGCTCCAAAACAACAGTAGACCCCACTGACTTTCAATGTATGGACAAAATATTGTTTTTCACAGAAGAAGGAAAGTCATGCAGAATTTTTGGATAACCTATCCGTTGAACTGTTAGTTTTAGAGCTTAATGTCAGCCTGTCAGTAGTAGCTTTCTCAATAGTGCCTCAGAAGTGCAAATTACACCAGCTCTCTTTCAACCACCTTCCTGAATGCCACAGACCACAAATCTTCACAGGCCTCACTTCCCAAACCGAGCTTTTTGTAAAGCCTTTGAATTCCTCTCAGACCAGATCACGGCTTAATCCATGGCTTTTCTCCTGCACGCGACCAAAGTCTGTGCTGCTTTCTTGAGCTCTAGTCTTCCTACGCCCTCTAATGCACTTTGTTTGCTTCTCTCTTCTCCATCTTCTCTCACCATTCTTATGTGATCCCAACACGCTCGTCGTATTCTTCAGATATTCCCAAAGCGAGTTTTTCAATTCTGACTATATCTAAAGCTGTGAATGTTGCCAGATGTACTCCGAAGGATTGAAACCACCAAGTGCCTTTTGTCTTGCACTTACAACGTTTCCAAAGTAATCAAAGACTATCGATCTCTCAAAGGTACAAATGTTTTACTAGGAAGTACCACTTACAAGTAATCTTGCAGTGCATTGCTTTATCTTTACATGTACGGTATATATTTTGTATTTTCATTTAGCTCTTGAGTACGTTGAAATTGTACCTCACGTGATAGAGGTACTATTTAAGTTTGTATTGTGTGTATTGTCTTATTATGAGTGTTTATAGACTTTTTAGCAGTTTGCTTTGATAATTCCTCAAAGTTTCAGGTCTCTACGCCTTACGGTTTGGTCTGCCCGATCACTTTTAGGTCAGAATGGTGATCTTTGAAAATCTTAACAATTACGATAGGGTTTCAGCGCTACACTCTTGAACTGCTAATAATGTGAAAAGATGGCTTTAACAAAACATTTATCTCAGAGCTCACAACAGTTCTGTCTTTAAAGGTTTATAAGCTACCATTAAAAATCTGTTTTTAATTCTAACCCAACTTTTGCACTCTTTATGCTCCAAAACAACAGTAGACCCCACTGACTTTCAATGTATGGACAAAATATTGTTTTTCACAGAAGAAGGAAAGTCATGCAGAATTTTTGGATAACCTATCCGTTGAACTGTTAGTTTTAGAGCTTAATGTCAGCCTGTCAGTAGTAGCTTTCTCAATAGTGCCTCAGAAGTGCAAATTACACCAGCTCTCTTTCAACCACCTTCCTGAATGCCACAGACCACAAATCTTCACAGGCCTCACTTCCCAAACCGAGCTTTTTGTAAAGCCTTTGAATTCCTCTCAGACCAGATCACGGCTTAATCCATGGCTTTTCTCCTGCACGCGACCAAAGTCTGTGCTGCTTTCTTGAGCTCTAGTCTTCCTACGCCCTCTAATGCACTTTGTTTGCTTCTCTCTTCTCCATCTTCTCTCACCATTCTTATGTGATCCCAACACGCTCGTCGTATTCTTCAGATATTCCCAAAGCGAGTTTTTCAATTCTGACTATATCTAAAGCTGTGAATGTTGCCAGATGTACTCCGAAGGATTGAAACCACCAAGTGCCTTTTGTCTTGCACTTACAACGTTTCCAAAGTAATCAAAGACTATCGATCTCTCAAAGGTACAAATGTTTTACTAGGAAGTACCACTTACAAGTAATCTTGCAGTGCATTGCTTTATCTTTACATGTACGGTATATATTTTGTATTTTCATTTAGCTCTTGAGTACGTTGAAATTGTACCTCACGTGATAGAGGTACTATTTAAGTTTGTATTGTGTGTATTGTCTTATTATGAGTGTTTATAGACTTTTTAGCAGTTTGCTTTGATAATTTACAGACAGTAGCAATCAATCAGTTTGTGTAATGATTTGTAATGTTTGTTTTTTAATCAGATTGAGATGACAAATGAGTGAAACAATAGCTCTTGGTGTTGCCTAAAAATATTAATAGTAATAATAAAATGCAACAGACTATGCAAAGAATCACTTTGCCATTTTAGGTTTTAATATTTCCATTTAAGCACATACTGTACGCTTTTATTGGTTGTCTCTTGTTTTTTAAAACGAATGAATTTTATAGACTTTGTTTTCAGTAAATTGCTTGATACTGTATATCTTAGATTAGTGCCTTTTATATGCATCAAATGCCACTTTAGTGAGAGACCAAGTGTAATTCGTGTGTAGAATTGTTTTGTTCTCTCCCTAAGAGGGAAAAATAAGGGACAAATGAC